AATATTTTCATTCAAATTGTCTTAAAGTGTAATAACCCGATGTCTATATAATGCACAGATGTTTGCTTCTAATTTACAGGCAAAATATTCTACACGACTGTTGTGGTTTTGTAACTATTTTTGTTGCTTTTATCTCGGGTTGTTTTTCATATTCTTCAACAATAAGCGAAATGCAAAATTTTGCAAACAGAGGACATCAACTAAACAATACAGTACAGAGTGAAAAGTTTGTTGTTTTGTATTTTTGTTTTTTTTTGTTTTTTTTTTTTCTCTCAATTTTTTCAGTTTTCTTTGCTTATGCTATTTTGTTGTTGCTCCTGTTCATAACGTCATTTGTGCATTGAGAGCTAGTAAAGAATTGTTAGATTGAATCCTTCTGGGCATTGTGTTACAAATTTCTACGGCTGCACATGCAGCTGAGTGTATCAACGAAATAAGCAAATAAACAACCAATACATACATACACACCAGCTAAAGCAAACATGTGTACATTAATGCATACATAAGTAGCAGCTGCATTTGGATATAACCGAAAAAATGCACATATGCAACACGATACAAATTATGTTGCGACACGACACCTAACATACATAAAGATTGTGAAATTTCCTTCTGAAAGGATATAAAGTTTGTTTACAGACAAGTGAAAATTGAAAGAACCAAATAAACAAGAAATAGTACACCGACCCCTTTAATGCATGCAACACAACGCAGCCATAAACAAACAAAACCATAGTTACCACAAGAACCGCACAATATAGCAGCAATAAAGCATAGTTTCGTTATTGCATTACGTACGATACGTGTAGAGAGACACTTTCAAATGGCATCCACACTAAAATACACACAATTGACTTGATGAGAAAGAAGAGACGAAGAACAAGCAAAATAAAATGCAAAAAAAAAAAACTTTATTCGACTTAGATGAAAAAGGAATCTTTGATGCTTACCACCGCAACGTGTATAAGAAGAAAAAGAAAAACGAAAAAAAAATGCACACTATTCTTTTCTTCACGTTGAACATGAGGAAAAATGGGAAATGCAAAAAACGATCTTCCATTTGCCGATAAATGGAACGTTTTGCTACCCCTTTTCGCTTTACTTTTAAGCTTTGAAAATTTGTATTGAATGCAAAGAAAGTAAAGGACAAAGAAATTTTGCGATTTTCTACTTGGAAGAAGAAGAAATCAAATTTGATTAATAAATTCCGCCTCTGAGAAAATTCCGCCTTTTAGGAAATATAATACCATTTGAATAGTCAAGAAGCCCGGTATGGTCTTTTATGCAGCGCTAATTGTTTGATTAGTTAGCGTGCGACAAACATTTACTTAATGACTCATACGCATCTTTGCATAAGTAAGCATAAAGTAATCATAAAAAAAATCAGCGAACAACTCAGACAGGAAACGAATATAACACACACACACACTCACACACACAACTCAAAACATTGAAATTTCCATCGCTTCTAATACGATGGCAAACAATTTCTTCAACAATTGTTTTCATCAAATCTTCTATGACTTTAAAGGCAATCCAATTACTGTGCCTGCAAACGGAATAAGCTTTAGAGAATTTATTGTAAAAATAATCTTCGGAACATATTGCATTCACAAAAACAAAGGTTCAATATTACGTTGTCCCATTAGTTTCTTCCCGGATGCAAAATCAATAGACGACATATCCCATTTTTGTCTAAATGATTATGCACTGTTGCCCTGGGAATGTTAGTGGCATCCATTATATCGGGTATTTTCGGCGAACATATTCATGATTAGGTCCGTATCCATCGTTGCTGGCGGGCTAATGCGGTCTTCATCATTCAAATCAAAATTGCCAGCCAGACGTAGATACCGTTCCGATAAAGAATGCAAAACATTAATGAATTTGAAAGAAGAAGAATTTTGAGCACTCGGCCCTAGCTGAATAAATCAATAATACTAAATGTTATTTTATGTAGACAATTCATCCAACAAGACCAACCATCGAATTCAACTGACATTTGCCATTTCCTGATCATTTTAAGTCGTTGATCAAAATTTTTTGCAAAAATACCGTAATAACAACAACAAATTTGTTCTTTCATTTCATCTTAACTTTCACTTTTCTCACATTTCTCACAAAAAGTTTATCATTCCCTCTATATCTTATGTCGATCGAGGACATCTCACGGAATCTCCAATGTGGGATTTCAACTTTTTACACAAACTGATGCAAGCACTGGACCATTTTCGTCCGGAAGCGAAAAGTATGTACTTTCTTGCACAATTAAAATTAGGGCCCATCAAATAAATTTCAAAACTAAAAATTTTCTTACAAAATTATTTCAAATTTTGTTCTTCTTCTTTCCAAAAATCCAACCTATTGGTAAATAATTTTGAACACAATTTTTACATATCCATTGTACGAATTTATTGACATTACCATAAAAAGAAAAACAAAAATTTTACTACACATAGGTTTAAGGCGTTAATATACAGATAAGATGGATAAATCTTATATTAAGAAAGTGCTCATCATCATCATAATCATCATCATCATCATCACATTTAAAGCCGAAGCATAAATGATAGTAAATGTGTCAGTTCAATATATGGACTTATGGCTTAAGGAAATACTGCATTCTCATAACAATGGTTTAAGTTTTTTTTTTTATTTTTTTTTTTTTTCTTTCTTCTTCTTTCTTTCATTATTGCTCTTGCTCTTCGTTTAAGTAATGTAAAAAATAAATAAATAACTTAATTTCACACTAAATATCGAAAAGTGGATCGATTCTTTAATATACTGCATTGTCAAATCTTTGGTGTTAACTAATATTTTATGATTGTTTTTTTTTTTTTTTTGTTTTAAATAAATAAATTTTTATATAGTATATATAGTATATATATACATACGTAAAGATCACTTCAAGCGTAGGAGAAAGTTGTGTAATATAAGTAATAAAATTCTTTGTAAAGTCTTTTTTTTTTTTTTTTTTTTTTTTTTTTTTTTTTTGCAAAGAAATTCTTTGTTTGTTTCTTACTTCCTATAGAGCCATTTCTTTCAATCGGTTGAGCAGGAATTTTTTGCATTTCATCGACATTTTGATTAGAATTCTCCATAGTGGTAGTTGAACTACTTGTGATCACGCTGGCTGCGGTAGTAGTAGCAGTTATTGGTATTTGTAGACCTAAAAATTTACATATGTCCGGTGTCTTTTGTATGTAAACCAAATTGCACTATAAATAAATAAGAAAAGAAGAAAAAATTAATCATTTTGCCAAAAATTGTGTGGAAATTTCTCAGCCTGACCTTACTCTCTCCCAATTGTGATTTTTGAGGAGGGTTATAAGATATGTTATAATAAAGATTGTAATTAAAAAAAAAAAAAATTATTTCTTCCTCCCATTAATTTAATACGTTTTCAAAATTCACAACACTTTGCCTGTAGCATAAGCATACTTTACTTCTGAGTAACAATTTTTCGTTTTTTTTTTTTTTGTTTTTTTTTTTCAAAATAATTTTAACATTTTTTTTCCATTCTAAAGCACAACACAATAAGAGATTCAAAGATCTTTAAAATATTCATTTTGAAAATTGCCAAAAACAAAATAGAAAACATTGTTGTAAGCGCATTTGCATACATAACCAATTTTGTCTTCTCTTTCGCAGGGCAAGGTGAAGGTGCATATTTTTGCATTGTCTTCTTTTTCATTCATGTAATATTTCACGTTTGCTCTTTGTTCTTCTGGGACAAAAAAAAAAAAAAAAAAATCATAGTTCGCCACCCTTGGCCGGTTGTCTTTTCTCCATTCTTTTCCAACTACTATCTGATCCCATTTAATGTCTTGTTTGTGCTCGTGTGTAGCATAAATAAGCGTTTTCTCTTCTTTTTTTTTTTTTTTTCTTATTTTCATCGCATTAACATAGATTTGATAAATGCTTCCCTTACATTACTTACCTACTTTTAGTTGCGTATGTATAGGCGTTGGAATTAAGATTTACCTTAAGGTCTTTGCCCATCGAAAGTAAGAAGAAATATATGTTTGTATGTGTATGTATGCATTTATTATAAAAACTTGGCTCAACTTTTCCAAAGTAGTTGCAAAGTTTAACAGTTTCATTCTTTTATGTCAAACAAAAGAGAGAACGCAACGACGCGCAAACCTTTTTTATTATTATGTTCATTAATTTTCAGTATTATTAACATTAGATAATGCAGCCAAAAAATATGCAATAGAATAAAATTATAATAAAATAAAAAATTCTCTTAGATTCAATGCTGATGCTTAGAAACTGCAAACAATAATAGCATACCTTTAAACGTTTAATATATTTCGAAAGTCGGAGCATACTTTAGAGAGTATATAAATTTCTTATATTAAATTAAATGCAGAAAAAGCTATACATTATATATGAAAAATTTTTAAACGATTGGTAGAAAGTATAAATATTGTTAATATTTTAAACATACGTCTCAAGAGTTTAAACACCATTCTTAACTAAATAACAGTAATGGTCTTAAACGCTTCTGCTCGTACATTTGCAATAGAAATGCAAATATAGACAAGAACATTTATACAAACGCCATTTTCTATTTGTTAAGCATTGTCTAAGTGTTTTATATGTATTATCACTTAAAGAACCTGAGATAGTGAAATGGCGCAAAGAAACAAAAAAAGAAAAAGAAAAACAAAAAAGCAAAAGAGAGAGAGAGAAAGAGAGAGAGAGAGTTAAAAAAAAATAAATAGAAAAAAAAAAAAAAAAAATTAAGAAAACTGATTATATGAAAATGTACAGAAAAATAGCGCAACTTTTTCTCTCACTTTTTTTTAATCTTTATTCATTTATGTCCGTCGCTTTAATTAGCAACGTTAAACGTTTATTATACTCAAGTGGCAGCAAACTTAAATAACAGTATGAATGCATACTTGTTATCTACTTTTATTAGACTTTCAATTTACATTCAACTTTTACTGAGCAAATAAAGACGAGGGGTGGGGGAGGGAAGGACTCTTACTCTTAGTTAATATGTAATACAGAAGGCGTTATTTGGAAGCGTTTAAACGAATTGCAAAAAAAACTGCTTCACCTTCGAACTGCTGTCTGATTAGCAATAAACAACAAGTAAACAAGTATATATATATGCACAGGTAAAAGTGTATATATATACAAGCGTAGTTATCTATAAAATTTCTTCTTTTATATGAATGAAATGAGAAATATTACGTGAAAGTATCCTTCTTTATAACATACTGCAATAAAGGTAATAACTTAAACAATATTTATCAAGCTTTACATACATGTACGTGTATGAGAACTTTACACATCTCCTCTTCCTCTCAGTTACAAACGTAATTTATTTCAAAAAACTTTATTTATATCTAAGAGTATAAGTATATCATCCATTGTGAAAACTTATTCTGCAAAATAAAAACAGTATATTTTGTGAAAGACCTTCCTCAGGATATCTGCTAACAGGAAGAAGGTATAGAATTCAAACAGATGAATTATGCTTAGGTTTTCTATATTTGAATTGCATTTTTGTTTCGCACTTCGCATTGCTTCCGTGATATCTGTTTGTCTCTCTATTGAAACTAAGGTGAAGTACCAATTAAAATGCTTTTCTAGCAGAGAAAACTAAATTTCAATGCTTTACTTCTCGATTCGAAATCGAAAGCGCACAGAAACGTTTATTAGTTTAAAACTTTGAGTCAGATTTTGAAATTCTTCATTAATAAAATCATTATGTCGAAGATAAACTCCATAATTAATTAAATCGTGCAAGTTGTTCACTTATACTTTTTTCTGCAAAGAAAGGAGCCACATGCGCATATTCATTTTGGTTTGTGTTTGATTACCTAAGGTACTACTGCAAATCATTAAAAATAGATACAATGTGTTCGACGTAGAACATATGTGAAACGAGTGAGTTGTGTTTTCGTTGTACATAGTAGTGAACTTGCTATATAATCTGTTTATGTTATCTACAACTTATCAATAAGTTTTTTACTGACTCATTTATTATTATCTCTATTATAAATTCATCCCTTACCTTTGGCCACATGCGCGCTTAAACACTTTACAACGTCCAATGATAAATCAGTCTCTGAGGTGTTTATGAAACTGTCAAGCTTTGTTTTCTTAATTAAAGTTTAGCTTAGATTTCCGTCGTGTTTAGAAACAATTTAAAATTTTCTGGTGAACTTAAACCCCCTTAACAATTGTTTATTGTTCTCTATTAGTGCATATATACATAAACTTCGCAAGCACAGACTCCCACAAATATTATTACGTTCACGTTTTTAATTACACCCGTACATTTCGTACAACAATTTTCATTTTATAGAAGCGAAAATTGTTCAAGAGAGAGAGAAAAGAAAAGAAAAGAAAAGAAAAAAAAAAAAAACGAGCTCTTGCACGATACAAAAACTTTTGAAGTCACGTTGTATATGAACGCTGATAAATTTACGTATGACTTAACACATCTGCATATACATAAGCAAATATAGATAACATCGTCATCAACTCAGCTTTAGTTTAAGTAGAAGCATACCCTAAGGAATTAATTTAATGACTTACACTCATCGCAGACACACAAGTACATACAGCTTACATAGGCGACATTTTCATATTTTTATGTAAAGTAAATTGAAGAAATATAAATCTATACCAAATTCGAAATTTAAAGGCAACTTTAACTATTGAAAAACTGTGCTTATCAAAGCATTTCTACCCACACCGCCTAGGAACAGGGCTGCAGTAGATAGAGTGCAGATATCACAGTTGCAACTATGGGAATAGAGTATTACGGTGTTTATAATTCTTGATAAGCGCATATTTCTGGTCAATATATACCTGTCTGTCCATCTGTCCATTCCTTAATCTGCTGTCTGCTATTGTAAATCTTATGAATTAGAAAAATTGAAATTTTGGCACTTAATACATCCTTAGCAAATGGTTGCAATACTGAACCGTAATAAAGCCCCATAGACATACCTTAGAGAAAATCTTTTGGTACCAACATTAATAGCGGAATGATTTGAACGAACTATGCACAAAACATCCTGTTAAAAAGTATAGAGACTTTCTAGTTATTCATCCTATTTCTTTCACCTTTTCTTGCAATATTGAGAGTAAAAAAATTAAAACAATTCCAAATTACAAAATTTAAATAAATCTTGCAACTTTTCTTCCCTTCATCGATTTATTCTCCTAACATTTGCTTAAAATGCTATGTATGCAATGTATGCAATGTATGTATGTATGCAATAATTGAGAAAATCTTACCACAAAATTGTCATAAGATAAATGCAGTGAAACAAATAAGAGCAGCAACAACAAATTGACGTAGATGTAGATGTAATAATAAATCAAATTTAGTGGTATGTTAAATAAATTTACTTCGAATATATACGCAATCATGTATTATTCATAGAAACCGGTAAATAATGGCAATGTAAGAATAATTAAATTACATCTACTACAGACTATTACAGTAATAATGAAACTTTATTTAATTATAATTATTATACTATTTTATTTAATTATTATCATAAGTGAAAAGGATAAATTTATGAAATAAAGTGTAATCATTATTGATATTCCATAGAAAACCAAAAGAACACAACATAAGAAAAATTACGATCAACGATGAATATTTGATATGTAGTATATATAATGAAATAAATCATAATGAATCAAAACAATGGAAGAATAGGAAACGGTATATGCTATGTAAAACATTTTGAATTCAGATTAAAATTATAATTGTATTAAAATGATTTTATAAGCAATGCAATGACGACATATCGATATTAACAGGTGTAGAAAAAAAAAAAATATATATATATAAGATAATTATTTACAGAATTTCAGCTTTGACACATTTACACATCTATATATATATATAATGATTTTTAATTATTTCTATTAAATTATGTTTAATTTACAATAATAATCTGATAACCTTAAATATATGTATATATGTCAATAGGATTATTATTGAAAACATAAATTTGATAATAAAAATTTCAATAATAATCAAAATTGACAGCAATGGAAAAAAAGACTAAAGCATTTCTATGTAAATAAAAGTATGCTGAAAGCATAACATTTTTCATACATTTTTTGATCGTCAACACAATATGACATCATACGCACAGAGAGAATAATTAATCATTTTTAATGATCAACAAAGCATTTTCAATGTTTTCAATGTTATTGTATTGCATAATGACAGTTGAATTAATATTTCATGTTGCGAATAATTAAGAAATGACATTTTGCCACAATATAAATAAAAATGTCTTTTTAAATAATTTCTTCTTTTTTAGCATTTTGCATTGGCAACAATATTTCCATCACTAAATTGAAATTTTACTTAAAAAGTATAAAACGTAATTATATATACATATAATAATTACACAATTAAAGCCATATATACACATATATTTATTGCCCTCCCACACGCAGTCGTAACTACTTTTACCTAATTAATTTGTTTTCCACAGCGTCTCAACTTCATAATTAGGAGATACTCTTTTTTTGCATCGAAATGCCAAAATCTTCTCGTTAGGATCTAATCGTTTTGTTCGTTTTTCAAAAAGTTTTCAATTAAAATAAATCCTTTTGAAACAGTAATTAAAATTAGATAGATAGTTAGACAGATATAGACATGCTTGCATTTAATATCAATAAAATTAAAATATACGGGTCGTATGAGTCATCTAATATTTAAATCGTTTAGTTTTTATTTATCTATGTATGTATTATTTATATGTAAACAATTTATTTTGCAGCCATCACACACGTAGTCATAGTAGACTAGACTTACATGACGTATGAGTGACATTTATTCCCCTAACTTATATTTATACGTGTTCGTAATATAGAGATTTTAAGTTTTCATTGAATTTAAAAAATTTCTTTGATTCATCTGAAGATGACAGAGAGAACTTTTTTATGCATAATTTATTGAATCAATTTTTGTAAAGGATAATTAAATAAATAAAATACGAGAAATGCAATTAAGTTTTTAATTGCTTACATGTATTACAAAAAACGAAAGATTTCGGTTTCAATCAACGAATCTTACTTTGTTGAATATACTAATGGATAATTTTACTTTTAATAATTTGACAGAAGAAGAAGAAGAAGATTTTACTGATCAAGATATATTTATCCATTTTACGTTTGCAAATAATTTCTTAAATAGAACGACAGATGAAATAAAACTTGCTGATATATATGTAAGTTTAGAATATTTTCAGGGCAGCAGGCTAACATATTTTGAGTGAGAGCTAAACGAATTCTCATGTTTAGTGAAAATTTAAGTTGATTTAGTGGCCTGTTGCTGTGCTCTGCATTTAACTTGCAAAATCAAAACTTGCAGAGTCGATTTACTGTGTTTGCCTAGGCATTCCACCGCTGCCTTGTTGTTTTCCTATCGGTCTATCCATTTATTTTTCGCCCCTTTGCTTGTCTCCTCCTCACAACCATATTTATGCCGCGATTTTTCGCCATTAACAATGTCTGCCTCTCTATCGCTAAAATTTTCAATTAGTTTAAATTATGCATAGATGTGTTTGTTACAAGTTAAAATCCAAAAATTGACGAAAAGAATGGTCGAACATGTTATTGAAATATAATCGTGCTTGTAAGTAAGCAGAACATTATCGATTACACAATAATTGCATTGGCAACAATGCAAATACGTTTTCCTGTCTAGTTTTATAGTTTATATATTATTTTCCTTTTGTATATAATTACTAAGTATGTATAATAATATACAATGTTCCGAAGAAAAAGATTCGATCAAACTTAATTTTACATTCATGTTCAGTAATTTGGATTTAAGACAAGACATCTATGGGTAAAAATTTGCACTCATATTGACAATTGTTTAAAGCCTTTTTAATAAAATTATTTGCAAATCAATTCACATCTGAACACAAAAGATAGTGCAACGTGTTCAGTAAAAGTAGTAAACCTAACAACGGGGAGCAGTTTCATTCTATAATAGATTTCAAATTAATTTCAAACTGTTGAACTTTTATAATTTGTTATGCTATGCGAAAAGAAGAGGAAAATAGTTAATGCGATTTTTTCGTGCATACGAAAAGTTTATTTACAGCTTAAGTAACCGGGAAATTCATTAAAATAACTGTGCGTTCAAACTTGGGTTCAGTTACTCTAAAGCGCTCATAATAATGTGTAACCATTTTGCCACAATATTCTTCACTCCCTCTATCACTTTTTTAAATCTCTATTCACTTTACTTATTCGTTGTTTTTTTTTGTTTTTTTTTCTCTCTCTCTCTCTCTCTCTCTTTGCCACTGCATTTACGTCTTTATTATATTCAACTTTAACATCCATTGTGTAAGTGTGTAGCAATGTTTTCTGTTGCGCTTCTAAAAGCAAATATATATATATATATATTCATATATAGAGAAATACATTGCTATATACATATATATCCATATACATATATATATATATATATATAATAAAAATGCGAAAACGAAAGCTTGCGTACATAAAATTGTTGTGTGTTACGTTTCCTGACCATAATTGCACCACAAATACTCTGAAATTTTTGCGCAGACTGCATATATAAAGAAAGCAAAAATAACATGAACAACTACAGCCAGACATGCACCACCATATGTGACATTTTACACACCATACTATCGTATCTACACTAATTTTCAACACGTCTGCCTACCATATGCAATCAAAGCAGGCATTACGTGATGCGTTTTTTTTTTTTTTTTTTTTTTTTTTTTTTTTTTTTTTTTTTTTTTTTATTTTTTTTTTTTTTTTTTTTTTTTTTTTTTTTTTTTTTTTTTTTTTTTCTTTTTTTAATGTGCGCATATATGTCGGTTATCTTTTACCTACATTTAGTCTTTCCTCATGCTTTGCTTTGCACAAATCTCATATCGGACCATTACTCCTCATGTTTAAACACAATTTTCCCTATCTCCTATATATATTCAAGCGCAACTCCTTCCCGTTTTCTAAAGTCATAACAAACAAATGATTAAAAAAGCACAACTTGCGATAAAAAAAAATAAAAGTTTAAAAAAGAAAAAAAATATACAAAAAACTATACCATCGTTATTGTTGATCACGTGGCGTATATATATGAACATATAGGAAGCAAATATAAGAGGTGCAAAATATATGTGTAAAAAAAAATTTTTTTAGCTGCCAGCACAACATTATTATTCACAGTTTGAGTAGTAGCTAAAAATTTTTATATACTTAAATCTTCTCAACATTACTAGTCTTGTATCCTTTAGGATATAGTAAATCCTTCAAAAGGGCAAAATCGTTTAGAACAAGCTATATCGTAATGATCTCTTCATAAGTGAGCTCAGTACTTTTTATAATAGTTTATATTATCAGGAAGCAAAAAACAAGCCGAACTTTCCTTAAAGCGTAATAACACATACTGGCACAAAAATTCCGCATTTAATGATTTGAGTTTTCATGAAAATTAGCCGAAAGCCAAGTACACGTTTTACCTGATTCATGCAGATGACAATTGACGAAAAGACTAAGATGGAATAGAAGAACACTTAGCGGAAAAAGGGATTAACACAAAAATGTCGCGAAGAAGGTAGGTTAGGTATTGGCAAGTTCCTTGTAAAAGGCTATATATAAGCACAATATTTGCGGAAGACAAAATCGAGTCGAGTCAAGAGAGACCAAATTAAGAATTGAAGTGTTCTAAATTTAAGTTCCTCTCAATTAAATTATAAATAGATCTCTTAAGAATTGTGAGTAAAAACTAAGTACTAAATAATAGTAATCAAAATCGGTATTCACCGATACGGATTTGAATAAAAAGGTAAAATCACAAAGGGCATTTTAAATGTTACAATGGTGTGGGGATTTTTCATTTCGTTCCCCTCGAATTGGTTATAAAGGGCTGAGCAAGAGAGCAAGCCGAAATATATTTGTATTTTATAAAAATATTTTAACTATATCATCTGCACCAAAGGGAGCATCTTTGCCTTTACTTACTTGGTTTAATGGGTATGTTTTCTCTTTGCTTCTTGTCTCTTTCACAGCAAAAACCATATTTTTTAATATACCTCCGGCAGTAATATTGCTTTCTTACAATCATCATGAATCTCAGACCAACTTCAAAATGCAAAAATCTTCTAACGTTACACCGCTCCGCCATCGCTACTGCCTTAATACAACTTATTCTGCTGCTGCATTTTACCACCTGCACTCATGCGAACTATTCAATGAAATTACGTGAAGATTGCATGGAATTAATAGCCAAATCAAAGTGTCAATGTTCGCCGGTTCTGTCAGACTTTGAAGTCGATTGTCCGGCGACAAAACCGAAAATTTCTGTACGCATACGACCCAACGATCATGTACAAATACAATGCAATAACGCCAAAGATTATCAACTATTACCTAATATGACTATTGGCAATTATCCGACAGTACAAATACAAAATTGCCCATTACCTGGGCACCTGTCGATAGCAAGTATCCTTAATCATTTGGGTATACGGAAAGTGAACTCTTTGCTTTTTGACAGTAATGAATTGGGCGCCAATATAACACGTCAGCACTTTGGTGGCCTCACGGGTTTGGGTCGTCTACGTTTCAGTTCATCGCGTTTGCCACATATGCCCGAAGATCTATTTTCTGATGTATCACTACGAAATTTAACCTGGTTAGACTTACGATCAAACAATGTTGAATTGCCAGTTAATATATTTGTGAATTTGGAGAATCTTAATTTCATTGAATTGGGTCACAACAATCTCAAATTACTGCCACCAGGAATATTTCGCATGCAACATAAGCTTGTTGATTTAAATTTGTGGAGCAATCAGTTGCGTAATCTAACTAAAGAAACCTTCGAAGGTATACCTTCGTTAACTTCATTAGCCTTACATAACAACGGCATCGAGACTTTTCGTTCAGATGTCTTCGAGCTCCTAACGAATCTTAGTCATATTAATTTAAATGCCAATCATTTTATAAGTTTACCGGAAGGTCTTTTTCAACATAATAAAAATTTAACCGAATTCTGGTTAATATATAATCGTGTTCCTTTAAAACGATTACCCTCGGCTCTACTAGCCAATTTGCCACATTTGCGAGATGTACGGCTAAGCTGCGACTTGGAATATGTGCCCGGGAATTTGTTTAGTAATTCCACGGCGATAACTAATATAACAATCACAGATAATCAGTTAGATAGTCTGCCTGTCGAACTTTTGGAAAATCAATACAATCTCTTAGACTTGGATTTAAGTAAAAATCATTTGATGACCTTAACTGATGGTCTGTTCAGAAATACCGCAAATCTTTTGGCATTAAAATTATCATATAATCGTTTAACGGAGCTTACAAGGTAACTAACTTTACCCAAAATGTTCAAATGTTTCTCTCTCAAACCATATGTTAATACATTTTCTTTATTGCTTTTCTTACTTCGTTTCCAGTGAAATCTTCTCCACTTTGCCAAATTTGCGTTACTTGGATTTAAGTAATAATTTATTAACAACAATAAGTCCAAGTGCTTTCGTTCACACTCGCAATCTGCGCCATATTGACTTTGAAAATAATCGTTTGAGTTTAAGCGAACCCTATATGGAATTAATCGAAAACCATGCTTCGCAAGAATTTGGATCACCGTTCCAATATTTAAGCGAATTGCATACATTGAACTTGAAAAACAATTCGATTATGTATATATTCCGGGACTGGAAATATCTATTATTCGAGTTGGAACAACTCGATCTAAGTTACAATAACATCACTACCTTGGATTACAGTGATTTCCAATATTTAAAGAAACACAATATTTTCTTGAATTTAACTCACAATCAGTTAAGGGCATTGAACTTTCAAAATATAGCCTTTTTAGACATATCAGAGAAAAATAAGAAGATCTTTATGGATATAAATCATAATCCGGTACACTGTGACTGCGTTTTGTTAAGTTTCGTGCAGTTCCTGAGAGGCGAATTGGCTCAAGATATACGTGAACAAATTGATTTGGATACGAAGTGGTTACGATGCTCAGAGCCCGAACGATTAAAAGGCAAAATGGTAAGCGCTTTGGATCCCATGGAGCTATTATGCCCGTTCGATCATGAAGATACGAAACCGAAGCGTTGTCCACGTGGCTGTAATTGTTGGGTGCGTTCGTACGATTTAGTCTTGATGGTCAATTGCTCAAATGGTAATCTAACGAAAATCCCGCCTTTACCAAGGCTTGAACAATTGAAATTAAGTGGGACAGAACTGTATATGGAAAACAATCAAATTGCCAAACTGCCTTTAGCTAAAACACCCGGTTACGCCGATGTCACTAAATTGTTTTTGGCTGGCAATAATTTGACCAAAATTGAAGGCCACTCTCTACCCGCAAAATTAAGTCATCTCGATGTCAGACGTAATCAGTTAACGCATCTAAACATTAGCACTTTGACATTTATGAACGAAAGCCGGTCGCTCTACGCTGTCTACCTCTCCCAAAATTCTTGGCAATGTGATTGTGAGTCTAAGGCACTGTTGCAATCAGTTCAAAGTAATTACCGTTTAATACCCGATCTTTCAAAGATGACATGCTTCGACACAGAACCCCTGAAATACTTTAACGAATTATCTATTACCGACATATGTCCGGCAGATAAAAAGCTTGTCATAGCAGTCGCTGTAGCCATTTCGTTAATTGGCTGCCTTTTCGGTCTCTTAATAGCCTTGTATTACAAATATCAGCAGGAAATTAAGGTTTGGCTGTATGCCCACAATATGTGTTTGTGGTTTGTGACGGAAGAAGATCTGGACAAGGACAAGAAATATGATGCTTTCATTTCGTATTCTCATAAAGATCAGCAATTTATAGCTGACTACCTGGTGCCACAATTGGAGAATGGTCCAATACCGTTTAAACTATGTGTGCATGTACGTGATTTTATCGTCGGTGATTTTATACCCGATCAAATAATTCGCTCTATAGACGAATCTCGCCGCACTATTGTTGTTTTATCGCAAAACTTTATTGAGTCGATATGGGCTCGTTTGGAATTCAAAACAGCTCATAAGGCTGCACTCAACGAAGGCCGAGCGAGAGTTATTGTAATAATTTACGGCGATATAGGAGATATCGAGAAATTGGAAAGTGATCTGCAAGCTTACTTAAAAACAAATACCTATTTGAAGTGGGGCGATCCGTGGTTCTGGCAGAAATTACGCTATGCAATGCCGCATCTTTCGAATGAGCTTCGCGGTTTAGTTAAAAATCCTTTAAAGGGCAGCACCGACGACAAATTAGAATTGATAAAGCCATCACCGGTAACGCCACCCCTGACGACACCACCAGCCGAAGCTACTAAAAATCCTTTGGTAGCTCATCTAAATGGCAATTCTGCTCAAACGGCGGTAATGTTCACAAACGGTAAGATCCCAATGCAAAACGGTCATGTTAATGGCGCTTACATTACCAATACTAACGCAAAACAGAGTGACGTATAGAATTGGGAGAAAGCGGAAATGTTTCAATTCGATGAACAATTGATATTTCGATGAAACATAAACGCTGAACAGCTGTTTTAAGCCAAACAACAAAACATAACAACAGCAACCTAAAGGACTGCGCAGTGTAGGAGAAGAAAAACTCTATTCTTGTATTTATAATTTATTGCTCTCTGACTAGAACAAAAACATACAAAGCAACATAATAAATACACATAAATATTTTTATAAACTTCATAATTACTTCCACACATATATACGTGCATAATTGTTTCTTTATATACTCTTCATACATCTTAGTTTTACAATTGTGTTATTGTAAATGCACAAGACTTTGTAAGTTTAAATCGCAATCACTAGGAAAATGTCGTTTGCAATATCATTTCGTGATGTAAGCGTCTTAGGACTTAAGTTTTTTTTTACCGCTTTATCAAAAATAAAGAAACTGAAATCTCTATAATCTCATGCATATATATTAAGCCGTTCAAAATAAGCAAATTTTACACCCGTTGCTGAATATTCGGTCGAATTCGAATTCTAAATATTCAATACTACCATACGATACGTTTAACCAAATTATTAATTGTATAGTCATACAGACGTAAAGACAATTTGAGCTAGAATATGAAACAATAAAATTCATCGGACTGATAGTTTAAGCTAGGTCTTTGAACCGTCCCTCTACTTTGTGCCTATGGCATTGAATCGCGTTTGCGATTCAACTTTTTTTCGACAATCGATCTCAATAATCGCCTAACCGATCACTTGGTGCTTCATTACTGAGCGTATGCGGAGCAGATGTAAATCAAAACATTTGGGCTTTCAAATCCTTAAATATATAAATTTTGAAGTCCGTAGACTATATGAATTTCTATAGCCAGAGTATTTCAGATGAGATATGCTTGAAGCATTGAACAACGAACTGGACACCTTCACAATATTTCAACTGCCCCAGGATGTCTCGTACTCCAAACCCTTTAATTAATTTAGCTGCTAAATTTCCAGGTTCGAAACTCTTAGAGTCCTAAGTCCTTTTCAATTTTTTATCTTTTTTTCATTACATTTGAATACTTTTAATTCGAAACGTATAAAGTGGAGGAGAGAGAGAGAGTGACGGAGTGTGGGAAGGAGGGAGAGAGAGCGAGGGGGGAGGGGCATAAAGATTTTTCAAAACCTCTAAAATACCTCATCATACTTCAGATAAGTATTTCTCAAATAATCTGGGCTTTGAAATCTTTCGGGGTTCAAATTATTTGATGTTTAGAATGCTCAAAATATTTCAATTTTGAAATGCTTCGGAAAATGCCTGCAATGTACGAAATTCCAAATGCTTGTAGGATTTCCGATTTGTATTATATTCTCAAAATACTTCATCAACCAATCAAATCTTACTTATCTGATGAGATTAATAAAAATAGACCTTAAGATCAGTTAGTTATCGGCAATCCAAATCCACACGGTAATGATGTCCTTGTTACCTTGTCTTATCGTTTGTAATTCGTGATGCCTAATCCAGTTCCAAACAATCGCGAAAAGGTGGATTTTATATCCTTACGCAAGTGAAGAACTTTCGGTTATCTCCTAATAGCCACAGCAAGGGGCAAGATTCTTTTTAATTTGAAGAGAGTAGACTGACTGTTAGATAGATCTTCATTCATGATGGCTTACCATTAGCTGTTATACTTTTAAGTTCCCCTAACACTTAGGTAAACAAAAGACTTGAAATTAAAGTTTAGTTTTATGTTCCACAATTTACTTTCGACAAAATGCGTTCACTTGCCAAACACTTGAGATTTAGAGGGATAATATTCATCTATATATGGATATAAGATGAATTTTTTTAAGGTCGATTACTGCTAGTACATTTGGGCATTTGTCCAAGTTTCTCTTGCTTATCCAGAAGAAGCTTTCTTGAAAAATTTAAACCTTTTCTGAGTATGTATATCGCATTTGTCCTTCAAACTGATCTCAAGGATTTTACAATGAATTTTTTATGGGAAAGCCTTGCACTGAGTAATTGATCGCATTTATTAGCTTGCATAAGATTCTGTGTATGTTTATTCCGTATAGGTTTATTTAAATGACTAGTCAGAATTATGATAGCAAAAATTTGAATCCAAATTGTGGGCAAAGTGTTTTGCTAAAAGCAAAAAAAAGCTCCATTCTATTCTCCTTTCGAAAGCAAAATGTATTTTAAAAGAAGTAAAAACATTATAGTTACTCGGTTTTATAACATTCTACAGTACTTTACCTAATGAATGTAAAGGGTGAGAGCTCTGAATTGACGTAGTCCAAATTTCAAATAAAATTAGAAACTTTTTCAAAATAAAGCGCCATATGGGAAATGGCCGTGAAAATGATTCGATTCAATCCATCTTCAATTCTGATTAGTTTTTGGATGAACGAACGTCAGGATACTAAATTTGATCGAAATATTTCAAAAATTTTGCGACATTTAGATTGAAGACAACAAAATACATGCACGGACAGACGGACAAACTTAAATCCGCATTACATGCGTACGCTAATGTGGGATATAAAGTTTTGCTAAGAAAAATGATTACCATATGCGCTTGTATGTCATGGCGGTAGTGCTCCCCTCACCTTATAGAAAGACTTACGGACACCAAACGCGGTTGCATTATCAATTCAAAATGTTACGTAATCAGCTTTTACGTAGTATTGGATATAATAGCTAAATAATTTAAATATATAAATAAGACAAGAGAAAAAATTGCCTTCTATGTGTAAACATAAAATTGCGCAAGCAAGCACTTATATATATATATATAAATATAATAAAAATTTTAAAATATAATTCATTTTATATAATAAGAAAAAGTTGTATTAACAAAATTCATTTGTATATATATATATTTATTTATATATATATATATGCAAAATTCCATTATACCACCAAGGATGATACTAATATAAGAAATTAATTATAGAAATAATGAAATGTTTCACTAAAATATCATAAAAATGCTCATAATTACAAAACAATTTCATATCCGCCAACGAACGTTCTTATAATGAAAAAAAAAAAGAAAAAGTTGATGCATTCTTGGTTAGAATAAAATTCCAAGTGATTATCAGCCGGTTTGTCACGCAAAGAGATAGCATCGATGGAAAATTATTTATATTGCTTGCATAGTACATATATGTAAAAATCCATTCTAAAGCAGGAATAATTTAGCTAAATAAAGTTGAAGTCGACCTATCTTTTGCTGCAGAAAAGGAAAAGTATCTTTTCACCTCTGTGATCGATTAAATAATTTGTCCCTTAAAAATGTATCTTTACACTTTTCTTCACCATGCACGGCAAATATTGATTAATGAAGAACAAAATGCAGCAATAAAAGTGTCAATATCATCCATCATCTTCACAAATATTGATTTATTTTATTAAACAAACAAACAATCTTTGTTCGTTTTAAAGGTAATTCTTTCTAAACATCTCCAAATGACTCGCTTGAACCATTTGAAATTGTGCCCAGCAACTCGTTAAACTTATATCGGGATTATTTCTCATATATATATATATATGTATATATATGTATATATGAGTCAAATATTTTGATATTTCCTTTCAAGATAACTCCACAAATTGAGTGTGCGTTTTAAGAATGTAAGCAACTTCTACGTGAACTATTGGTATTAAGAGAGTTTCTTACAGAGACTGTTAAATGATAGGTACAGGAAGTCAGTCGATTCAATTAGGAATATATTACTAATATATATTCTAACATTCCTCGTAAGTGGTTGTTAGTGACGTAGTGTGACGGACGAAAGAGACGGTTGGTGGATATGCTATATACAGTAAATAATTGAGCTCAATCCGAATATAACTTCATTCCTGCTTTTCCTGAATCCTTATAACTTTAAATAATTTTAATCCCTAAATTTAAGGTATTTATGTGTAAATGTACAATTATAATGATAATAGTGAATGTGTGGAAATACTTTCTACAAACGTAAAATAAATTTACAACATTTTTGTTAAGACTCTTTGTGTGTACATAAGTAGATTCAAAATGTGTGCAATGCAAATACTTACAAATGTCTGTTGCTGGCTATAAAAATAAAACATAATAACATGGAATGATGATAGTAATACTCTTAAATATAAGAAATTTCGGCTTTGGTCGAATTTCGAATACCTTCCACTTATGATTAAATATTTTATGCTAAACTTTTTTCTACAACAAAACAAAAAAAAGAAATGAATTAAAAATAAAGTGTAAAAAATCGATTTATTCAAGTACAGCATATGCAACAAATTGCGAAATTATTTAATCTCTCCAGGTTTTTATTTTTTATGAAAAATACTATTAGCAATAATAAGTGATGAGTGTCTTTTGCTATTACCATAAAAATGTTTTTTGTTTTTTTTTTTTCATTTAAAATCTCGTAATTTAAAGAAAATTGTACATGTAAAGCAATATCCCTGGAGAGTTTGATCTAATCTTGATTGTTATAATAAAGACCATGGTGGTGGGTATTAAATATGATTACTTAGAAATGATTTAAATCGTAAATTTTACATTTTAGTTATATATATATATATATATATATATATACATATATATACTTCTTTTACACAAATATTCTATAGATATAAAGATAGTTATATCTATCTAAGCATAAACATACGTACGTAGAATTATACATGTACAGATATTACAATATAATATAGATTTATTATGTACGGCAAAGCAAACACATAAAACATGACATAATATTGTACACAATAAATAATAGTAAATATCAAAAAAAAAAAAGTATATTTTAAAAATATATACAAAAAAATTTGAACTGACTTTTCATTACACTGGCGTCTAAGGTAAGACATTGTCTGGGTTAAAAACAGTTTTATAAAATCCGCTAAACAGTGTTGTGCGAAAAATCCTGAATTTGTTCTCATGCCCCCAGTCAATTTACATTTCACAGTAACGCGTAAGCTTTAATTTAAAAACGAACAAGTCCGTCCTCCAATTTCCTTCCTTTCTTAAATTGTACCCAAATATGTTTCAATCCTTTTATGCGTACAAAAATACTGCAAACTTACAGTGAATATAAATTGCGCCTCAGCTGAATCTTATCACCCATTAAAACATTTCTACCTTTCGTTCTTTTTTGATTAAATAAACGCATCTTTGAGATAAGGTAAAATTTTATACAATTAATACTATTAGAATTTGAAACGTATCGTTTCAAGGTTGATACTTTTCAGAAGTCATACGAGTCAGTGAACAGTGTTGACGTATATACATACACATATGTCAGACCAGAGATGATATATTTATTACGGCACTATAATATATTTTGTGAGGATGTTTATATCCCCCAAAAGGCCTTAAGAGGAGCCCATCCTTTATCCGTTTAATTGATTGCAATTTGTAACGCAAATGTCTGTAAATTCGGGGTCTCCCATTGCAGACCATTAGCCGAAGGAGACCATAGTCCAAAGCTTATGGTCTGGACGTTCGATAAGTAGGCTTTTGTTTATTCTTATAATGGCAAAGCACATGTATTTCTTTTAGATGTAATTCTCTGTGGAGAGTCCGTGGTACAAAAACTTAAAAGACGCCCATATCTTCCGAACTAGCTAGCTCAGCAATGCCACGTTCTTCACAACCTTCGATCCTCTTCAAGTGCGTCTCCATGACAACGATACGTGATAGGAGTGCGTTCAAGTGTTGGTCTTATCAATGACATTTATAACCTTCTTGCATGAAATTTCTCCGATCGGCATTTTATGAAATCAATTGCCGTCTTAGCCTTACTAAGAGAGAGTTGTATGTGGAAAGGTGTAAATTAAATAGGAGCATGTTATTACATAGTGCCCCAAGATCGGGAAACATCTCTACATTCTGCGGCCTATGTGACTCGATGAAATATTCCGAACAATCTTTACTAGAAAAAGTGCAGTCAAACGTTTACGATCACAGGAAACTATTCTGCCAGTAATTTATCTCATTTCTTACCAGAGTGGATTTATTGAGCCATACACAATAAACATATCTGGATTCTCCAGGGTAGTTTAGGCCCATAGCTTATAGGAATTGTCTAACTCTTTAAAGGGCGCCGATTACGCCATATTACCTCCTATGGTGGTAGAGGCGAAAAGGTTCAAAGGGCATGAAAACCCATTCTTGAGTCAGATGGGGTTGCGGTGCCCTTTCAAAATGCGTCCAAGAAACTTTACAAGCGCTGAAGTCTGATTTGTTGCGTAATGACTAAAAATCTTGCTTTCTTTTTGCTTTTGTAAAACGGAGATGTTCTCATTTTACTGTACAGAGGACGTGTGCTCTGTTTACTTCCAACATCAATCTGTGTGCAAGGGCATCTGCAATGTTTCTGCTAAATTTAACCCTCTATCTAACCCTCTCACATTACATAGACAGACAGACGGACATGCTTAAATCAATTCTGAATTGGGTGCTATACTTTATGGAGTCCCTCCTCTCCTGTATTGCAAAGGTTTTGGTAAAATTAATATACCTCCAGCTTTCAGTAATCGGGATGAATCAAATAAAGGTCTTGTAGAAAAACCAAATTCTTAGCAAAATTTGCACTAAATATTAGATTTTGATGGTACGTTAGTTCTAACCATAATTTGTAATCACCTGTCTGCGTGCACGCTGCTCTACTTGTGTTTGTTTAACTTAATTTATACATATAAATATATGTATATATTTTTGTAACAACAAAAATTCAAAATGAATATATTAGTTTTTTTACAGGTGGAAAAAGGTAACATAATTTCTTTTTTTTTTAAATCAGAAAAACACTTGACATCCTTAAGTAGTTTATTAGCATGCTGTGACCTAACATTTTTCACCACTTTAACTTTGGTGGGAAATTTCTAATCATAAACTTAACATTTTATTATTTCAGAAACATCTATTTGCCACAGGTATAAGAAGAAAAAAATGTTAAGTAAAACAAAATGAGATCAACTTCAATACAGCGACATAATGAAAATTCATAATTTTGGGATGCAGCGTAAGGGGTTAAGCGGAAAGGTTGGTTTCTTGCTAGCGCGAATTAATATAAAAATACTAATTACAAGCATTTTCCACAGGAACGTGTAAAAACTTATAATGATATTTTTTCATTTTCTTCAGATCTCATCAACGATGTTGGGGATGATACGTTCAGTCTTGCTGGCTTGCTCTATTATATTTTCGCATAAGCATTGTGTTGCAAAAAAATAAAAAAATAAAAAAAAATAAGCAAAAGAAAAATGGAGAATTTTTGCACGTAATACTTTCATACTGCGCCACCACAATTACCGCCAAAAGGAGCAGAATAAAATTGAACAGAAAAAAAGCCACAATTTCCGTAAAGGAAGTTGTTGATGATATCCTCCACGTTTGTTGTCACGGACTGCTTCTAACATAATTAGCTAAAGGAATGTATACGCGAGTAATATGGGACAATGTTGATAATATTATAACTAAGTAACAAGCAGTAAGTAAGAAAAATTTATTCATTTAAGGTCGAATCTTATGTATCCACCACCACCACCACCAGTACCACTACCACTACAAAATATTGGATAGAAATAATGATCGTATTACAAAATGTCATTTTGATTAAAAACAAAAATTTATCTCGACTTTTGCAAGAATGAAAGTAAACGACTTTATGAATTTTAATGTTACAATGAAACCTATTTTGGATTACTCCTACACAACTATTGAAATTTCTTAATTCTTGGAAATTTATGATTTCTGACACTTGACCATTTCTGTAAAAAAAAAATATTCGCGAGTACTTATGCCAAATATATCTGCTATATAATCTCAATAACA